AGATATCTGAATAAAAATCAGTATAAGATAATGTACATTCGGAAATAATAATATGAGTGTTACTGATCAAATACAATCAGATGGGAAATAAGATGAGTGTCTTTATAGTCATAATAAGTAACTTATTAGGATGTTGTGATGTGCCTGAATTGAAATAGAATACAATTTAAGATTATTTATTATCCTCCTCTGATGTGACTGACTGACTGACTGACTGACTGGTGGTAATAATATCTTCCATGCATATCTCTGGTATTTGCATTGAATCATTTCTGTTGCATGTGTTGTGTTGGGTGTACACTTGATGAAGCAGGCAGGATTCAGTAATCAATCTCTTTCTATTTCTACCTACCTATATAACTTTTTAGAATTTTAACTCTGTCCCGCCCTAGTGTGTGGTTGTGTGTGAATGCATCCAGGGCAACTTCTGTGCTATTTTTCTAAATTATCTATTTTCTCGGGGTCAACCATTCTTCCCTTAGCTAAATTCTTATGTTCCGATAATCTGACTACCCCTGACCTACTAGTTTGACCTATGTAGTTGACTTAACTCACAGTCATCCCAAGGTATTTTGTAAATGATATTATTTTGTCTAATTTGGTTCACTAGGTCCTTTAGCCTAAACAGCTTGTCCTATCTTAGTGCGTTTGTAGATCTAAATGTCACCCTAAATTCCTGCTTTATTGAGAATCCTACGTAGGGTCTCAGATGTCCCCTTCTTATATGGTAGAACTTTAGATGCCTTACATTCTCTCTTATTTGTGTCATCATTATCAGTTTCCTTATTATTTTTATTTTACTTTTGACCTTTTTCGATCTTTTTTGACACCAATAAGCTATTCTTCCATCTGTTTCATTTCATCATTTAGGTCTTTTTTGTACTACTTAGTGCTACTCCTCGGTTTGTTAGACACTTAACTTAACTAAGCCTGCCTTAACAGTTAACGGATGAAATGAATTAAAATCTAAGTATCTATTAGAATGAGTTGGTTTTCTGTACACACTAGTGTGTAGTTTACCTTCTTCTATTCGTTTTATTTTACGATCTAACATAGCTAATTCTCCTTGTTCATTTTCTGATTCAAATGTGAATTTTATTCCCATCCACTAGTGAGTTTATGTGTGTCAAGATGCTAGAGAGAGAGAGAGAGAGATTTTCTATTTTCAACACTGTGTGTGAAAGTGTCATCCACATATCCCCACCATATTTTTGAAGTAAGATTAAATGTATTAAGATCAATATTTTCTCAGCTGTCTATAAATATGTCTGCTACGATAAGGAATATCTGCAATCCATCCCATTGCTACACCGTCTGTTTGTTTATATATTTCGCCTTGGAATTTCGCCTGTGTTAGACAACAGAACTCATGATGTAACTGAATAATGATCCATTGTTTTGTTTTTTTAAGTTTTCTTACTAAGTTAAGAGAGTTTAATACGATTGCTTCAAACAAATCAGTCATATACCTCTGAGTCATCAACAGTAATCATCATACTTATTTTTTTTAAAAATATTGAAAAATATAATTTGCTGTAAATCTGAAAAAGATGATTTCTTGTCTGAGATTTACTTACCATAACAGATGTACACTAATATCTTCCTCTTTCTGTAAGACATTCAGATGTTTTAATATTTCATCAAAACTCCTTATTATTATTAATACTAATATTGTAAGTATTAGACATCTTTCATTATCCTATTTTTCGTGTTATGCGTAATTTTAAATTTCCCGCCATATTTTTACTACATTGAAATAATTGGTTTAAACAAAATATTTGATACATATATATACATATACATATACATGTGCGTATACGTATATCCCAAAAGTTGCTTATTATTGTGTGAACACCTGTAAAAATATAAATATATACAGCTTTGTTTTTCTCAAAATAATTTATGAGAAATCTACACGATTTATGGAAAAAACATCTGTTGGAATAATTTTTAATTCTGTGCAAATGATTTCAATGTTTTCAATAGAATAAATAGGAATAGTACTTCATTGTATGTGAATATTTCTGAATACAAATGGGATGAGATGGTGAGGTGTATAAGTAGGTCAAAGGAATGAGAAATTTTTATCAAATTTTGGATTGTAGAGATTGAAATGAAACATCATTATCGTATAGAAAGTCACTAAAACCCATTGGTTTCGACGTCATATCGTGTATATCTCGGGTTTTCATCCATATTACGTCTACTGTGCGAATTGCTGAAGAGTAACTTACTGGGACGAAACAGTTATCCAATGTTTTTTTTAGTTTTCAGTGCTTCCTTAAATGATGTTGTTTGGTGGTGACATGGTCTACGTTGCTTTATTTTAGATTATGTGTTCACTCATTCAAGATAATAATAATATAACAATAATTTTTCCTTCACGTTCCCAGTGGAACATAGAGCTTCAAGCTAGTGGCTCAAAGTTTCTGTAGCAGTGTTTATTTTTACAGGATGGGGTTGCTAGCCTCATGCCCAACCTTTCCTCTTTACGAGCATTTTTTCTGGCTTAGCTAGGTAAAGGAGTGCGTCCGTGGCCGGGGATCGAACCTCAGACCATGTGCATGGTTGGCGAGCGTCCTAACCGCTGTGCCACCGACGCATTTGAGATGATGACTTTTAACTATAGCAACCACTCGAGAAGATGATCTTCAACAACCAAATCAAGTCATGCCTTCCATCATGATTTCTTAAAAAGTTGCAGAAAGATAGGGTCTTTGATGACTCTGAGAGTAATCATAACTATGGGAAGGTTGACAAGGTAACTGACCTTCCGGGAAAGATTGAGGCTTTTGGGTGGATTAAGGAACAAAATCAGGAGACTTCAGCTGCACCTCTCCATTTCATCCATTCATCGTAGTCTTTTACAGCTGACTCCCCCATTTCCACAAGTTTTTATTTTTTCCCCAGACGATATCTTTTGTATTAGCCTTGGATCCAAGCCTGATTTGTCGTTTCCTATTCAGGTTCCATTCGACCGATGGTCTGGCTCGCAGTGTCACTGAACAACCTTCGGTTTAATTGAATTTATGATTTTTCCGTCGATTGATTGGACCGAAGTGCTCGGTCTCAGGTTGACATGTCGGCTTCTTGTGCAGATTCTTCGACGATGTATGGTCATTTAATTAGTATTCAATCGGTGGATGGTGACTAGCAGTGGAATCCATCCAGGACAACGCTCATTTCCGCCTATTTGGAACTCGTCAGCTATCTGGATGTACCTGCATTTCTCAGTGAGTGATGATGATGTTCTCACCGAGGCTCGAACCCAGTGCCTCGGTGGGAATATCATCACTCACTGAGAAATGCAGGTACATCCAGCTGACGAGTTCCAAATAGGACGAAATGTGCATCCTGACTGAATTCCACTGCTAGCCCACCATCCACCAATTAGATACTCATCTTCGGTTTATTTGCTGAGCAATAGAGTTTTGGTTTGCTCATTCCCAGAGTTCCTGTTGCTAAATCTTTGTGACAAGCTGTTTGACCTTTAGTATGGAACCAGCAAAGGTGTCTTTGATAAAAGTGTGATGCAGGTCGTTATAGCAAAAATATTTGTATAGCGCGCAAAGTTTCCGTAGCATATGGAAGAATTGGCTTGATATTAGCGTTAAAAAAACAACACCTGCCTAAGCGAACAATATTGTGCTTTCAACTGGATCTCATCAGGCTTAAGTCTAATATGCAGACATTGGTTTACAAATAAATATTCAAATATATAACCAGTCATGGTGTTTTGTTTATAGGATAATACAATGGTGAATATACATTGTGCAATTAGTCATAATAGTAGTAATGGTAATAATAATGGTCTTATCAATTATAAGGATGAAAAAAGTGAGGCAATCTGTGATAACACAAATAATGAAAAACAGCATGATTAAACAAACAATTGTTCAGTGGAAGTAATCGATAAAGGCTAGAAAAACAAATGAACCGATTACGTAATGCTAGACTGATTGTAAGGAAGTAAATGAGACACGTTTTTAAGGAAGATGTGATAAGATTAATGGATGATAAGAAAGGGGTTGAAAATATAAACAAGGGTGGTGTAGAAGTCCTTAGTTGGTTATATCTTAATAGGCCAACAATGGAGGGATAATGGCTGTACGAACTTCTTTTGAATGCATAGTTTAGTTTTAATAGTTCGAATGCCTATCATCTCAGGTGTGTGCAGTAGACGAATACAAAGTCTATTGGAAAGATTCGGTGGGATACGATCAATTACTTTGAAAGCTGTCGTTTTCTCCACTACATAACCACTATCAATTAAATGTGACAAAATTGAGCTACGGATTGTTTTTGTTTGTACTTTGTCAAACCACCAGGATGACAGATGTTCACTGACATGTTGGCTAAGCTGTCTAGTTGTAGTATACGCAACATAACTGTCACCGCAGGTGCAGTTGAATTGATAAATGCACATAGATGTGGCAAAACTATCTAGCTATCTATCCTTCGTTTGCGTCCCAATCATTCGTCGGCTAGAGAATGACAAACATAGGTATGCTGTGTAAAATCGTTCTTCGTATACTCCTTGAAAGTCTATTGGAATAAAATCTCGCTTGCTAAGTCACAATTAAATTGTAACTTAATAAATAGAGGTTTTTTACGGGCAGTCAGAGTCTCAGATTTTCTCTCTGATTTGTAAGAGGTCATCCGTACGTATCTTTCTTGCTCTGCTCGTAAGGCATTTAACAACATTTCTTTTATATTTAATGGTCACGTAACTACGGAAGTGTGTGTATTGCCCTTTGAATATGCTTTTTCTATACACGCTTCTCCTAAGTGACTCATCTTCTCGCCTACTTAGCAAGACATTCAGAAAATGAGTAGTTATTCTCCTGCTCCTTTTCACAGGTAAAATTAAGCGAAGATCGAACGTTGTAATTCGCCTTTTAAGATATCGCTCATGTAAAAGAATTTAAATTTTTACCTGTTCTTTCTCCCTCTCTTTTCCAATCATGACAATTTGGACAAAAATTATCAATAAATTTAAGGATGAAAATGACAATGATCCTGTTTTTATTAGACCTGCTACTGCCAGTTTACCTGCATCCTCATCGTCATCCTCACCGCGTCAAACGAATATCGAGATGTCAAAACATAGTTCATCACAATCAATAATTCATCAAACGATTTCAAATAATTTACAAGAGAAACAAAATGGCGCCAAATTGAATTGGCCCGCTTTTCCAACTTCTATGGATGATGGTAAAAATGATAGATTAAAACAAATCAATCATAATAACAATAATTTACTGAAACCAGTTGCACAACAAATTAGTAATAATAATCATGATAAAGCGAATATACCTGTTGTATTGGTACACAGAAGAGGCAATAATAATAATATTAACAATGATGATGACAGTTTCAATAGGAATGAAGGTAATTCAATTTACTAATCAATCGAATGATTTATTAATACTTTTGTGTACGTATTATGTTCGATATTCTAATTAATTAATTTATTTGTTATAAGTCATTTCTGTTTGTAATAGTTTGTGGATAATTATACTACTTAAATGGTTTTTAAGTAGACAACATATAGAGGATAGAGTAGTACAGTTGTACAGTATGATTGGTTACCTCAAATTCATCGATTTTGATAAAGCTCTTCCTGTCACTAGCCTCGACTCTTGAGTAATTTAGAAACCTGAATAAACTTCATTCAGCAGCTATACGATGACGTCAAATGCCGAAAGATTTTAACATCGTGAGACTGAGTAAGACATCTACTATAGCCAGTGATATTCCTGAAGGTGAAGGCACGAATCATGCAGTAGACGGTGGGTAATGCGAAGAGAGGCATACGTCGAGCTGGTAAGAAAATCCTGGAAGATCTAGACTTCGTGAGTGATTTATATCTAATACCACACAAACTTCAAGATGCAACGGTGAGGACCAACAATTTGGTGAGAGAGGTTAGGTAGCGTAGACAGATATTCATGTGAACATAGAGAAGACAGCTATGATGGTGATACCCAACTGACGACGAAAACAACAAGGATTAATCAATATCAATGAAGGAATTCAATGAAATGACTTTTCTAGACGGCATCATTTCAACCCCAAGTGACAAAGATGAGGATGTTAGTAGAAGGATCTGATTAGAAAAGCAAGACAGAAGTCCATTTCAAAATTAAAAAAAAAAACACGTAGTTCAGCGAAGAGGCTCTCTTCACAAAATCGAATTTCCCCTGCAACTCTGCAGTCGCATTTATATACAATAAAATGACGAGTTGTCACAAACATTCATATGAACTGTTGTCAAGATTTGACAGAATAGTTCTAAAATATTTGGGCACCGAGTGAGAAGTAAACATTTGTAGAAAAAAAAGAAGTTATATCTGTAATATCTCAGCGAGATTGAAATGAGTAATTTCAACGTTTCGTTCGACAATCTGGTCCGAACGTTTTCAAGGAAATTAATCGAAATTAACATAACAGAGGTTTATATATATGTGAAATGGGGACATCTCTTGCTCTTTTTAAAAACTTTATCCCATCATATAGGGCATGAAACAGCCATCAGCTTGTATAATGAACAAATGTATGAGCTGTGATCAAAATTTGACCTCGGACTTACGAATATTGACCTACTTTTGCTAAACACTTTAAACACAGTGTGTGTATGTGTGTGTGTGCGGATAAACAGTTGTAAAACAATGTCTTAACGTCTCCATAAGTAGATATAGACAGTCAGGAACTTTGATCAAGTATTATTAATTAGTAATACATATCCACTTTTTACTTATTAATCAGGATATAGCATGCATCAGCCCACAAGATGACACCTTCGTGTCTGTTCAAACTGTTAGTATCTAGAATTTTATGATTAGACGTATTTTTACTCGGCACCGAAATATTTTAGAACTATTTTGTCAAATCTTGACGACACTTCATTTGAATTATTTTCAGTCGAATTAAATTAACAAAGAAACTATACTAATTGGTACAATCACATTGTGTTTTCACTCTCCGTCGTCTGCAACAGAATGCATATCATAAATCCGTTGCTGTCGAGTCACCTGAAAGCTCCCAGTAGGTCGAATAAAGCAGCTCGATCTTCAAAAGAAGACAAGGTAATAAGTTCGACAGGGTGCTTCAACTAAACTCTAATCCTAAACATCATAATTTTGAAAATACGTCTAATCATCATAAAATTCTAGATGCTAACAGTTTGAACAGACATGAAGGTATGATGTTAGCTGACGCATAGGAAATCCTGATTAATAAATAAAAATGGATATGTATCACTAACTAATAATACTTGGTCAAAGTTTCGCGACTGTCTATATCTACTTATGGAGACGTTAAGACATTGTTTTACAACTGCTTATCCGCACACACACATGTAACAACAGAAGACAAGCGCCAGGCAACAGATCCTTTTATTACGAAAATCAACGCGTATTTATATATATTTTATGTACATTAATAAGGCTTATGCAAGCAGAAAAAGGCAGTATTTTAATTGGTTGTTTCTCGGAAGTTAAGCAGACAAACACAGTCTTCTGATTGGTTGTTTTCGATATTTCTCGAAAAGTAGAGCCATTTATCTGCGAATCATATTTGCCCACGTTTAAGTCTGCTGTGATTGGTTGTTGAATCAGCCTAGATTAATGTCTACCAATTGACTAGCAGCCTGCTCTCACCACACACACACACACACTGTGTTTAAAGTGTTTGACAAAGGTAGACCAATATTTGTAAGTCCGAGGTCAAACTGTGATCACAGCTCATACAATTTCGTTTGTTCATTATACATGCTGATGACTGTTTCATGCCCCATATGATGGGATAAAGTTTTTAAAAAGAGCAAGAGATGTCCCCCTTTTCATATATATAAACCTCTGTTATTTTAATTTCGATTAATTTCCCTGAAGAAGTTCAGACCAGATTGTCGAACGAAACGTTGAAATTACTCATTTCAATCTCGCTGAGATTTTACAAATATAACTTCTTTTTTCACAAACATCACGAACATAGTTGTGAGTGTTAGTCAATACATAAAAAAAGTTAAATAAGTCTACTAGACACTTAGATTGGACACTGACTGGTCAATGACTAGTATAGTGTGTTTAGTCCCTTGTTTTTGGTGCAGACTAAATTTAGTCAGTCAAGTTTGCAATGTGGCCGTCATACGACTAGTTGGATCGCCATCATGGTGTACCTTGCATTGTTGGTATTAGATGGTTGGAGTCAATCAACAGGAAGCCTTGGACGTACACTAGTCACTGACTAGTGTGTCCAATCAAAAATACCCAATACAGTCCTACAGGAGATCGATTGCCAGCCAGCCAGCCCGAATAGCAACGTTAATGACTGCAGCATTGGGTTCGAATCCCAGTTAGTGAGATATATAAGTTCCTCCAAGGCTGTAGATACACCTTGCTGACTAGCACGATGACTAGCAACATTGAGGTTAGGCGTAGAGTTCTAGGCAAACAGGGGAAATCAATCGACGAAGTCGTGAAGCTACAAAGACTGAGATGGTTAGGACATGTGTTACGTATGACAAGCCATCGCCTCCCTCGACAATGAGCAATGTTAGCGGATATAGGGTCAGGCTGGAAAAAAGCTAGCGGCGGTCAAACAAGAACTTGGCCTCACCAGTCAATGAAATCCACAACAGTTGGTCTAAGCCACGTAGGAAGGTGTAGACTGGCTTCCAGGCTGGGGTCCTCGGGACGGTAAAAACCAATGGTTGGAAACAATTGGTGACATGGCTCAAAATCGTTCTCAGTGGCTAGCGCAGATGCATCCACTCCTTGTGACTTATGATCTCCAATGAAACTGTTTTGTTTTTCTTTATTACTCCTTTGTCTCACACCTCTGTTAACTGTCTCTATTATGCCTTTCTTGTACTTTCTTCTCTTGCTTCGCGTGCTACACGGAGTGTGGCGACTTGAACTTCCGCACATTTGTGCAAAGTTCTATGTCGAAAAACAGACATACAGACAGACAGCACGAAACCTAAGTCAGGTGAGGCTTCCTGTAGCCGAATGCCTCTAACCATCTAATATCAAGCGTACTAGAGTTACGTAATAAGATGGGTTAATTTAATGAGTGAGTTTTCATCAGAATGCACATGGAAACCAATGAGAATATGAAATCGTCTAAGAGTTGTAGAGAAAGACAACAGTTATAAGGAGTTAGAAGAACAAGCAGACAAAAATCGAGTCAGTAGAGATGAACAAGGTTTTGGTGGAATAATTTTCTTTCTTTTGTATGCACATCTCTGGTTTCTTTGACTGAATGGATAAAGCTTCAGCAATGCAAATGAGACAAAGGAGTCTTGCCTACGGCAGGTTGTTCTTCACTTTGTAGATTACCTTCAAGGAGGTGGCGTTCATTGAGATAGAACGACCAGTGTTGACAAAGTGTTTTTTTTTTGTCAACCCCTTATGGCTGTTGTATTTATTTATAAAAATTATATACTATCACATTTTCCTTCGTTTCTAAGTGGATCCTGAATACAACTCATCCACTAAAGTATTTATCTTACTGCATAGCCCTAATACACTTATTCACCTCCCCTTATGTATTGACTAATAATAACAATTATGTTTGTGAACATAGAGAAAACAGAGGTGATGAAGATTCCTGGACGACAGCAACAACAACAGACGAAAATCAAGCTAAATGGGAGGAATCTCAAAGAAGCATGCACATTTACGTATCCATCTATCTGGGAAGCATTGTTGCAACTGCAGGTGAACGGAACTGTTCAGGATATCAAAGTGAGGATCGGGAAAGTAAGGCTAGCTTACATTGCACTCAGGTCTGTGTGGAGGTCGACAGCAATACTCGGCATGAAAATGAAAATAAGATGAATATTTTCAACTCCAATGTGAAGTCAGTGCTACTTACTATACGGATCAGAGACTCAGCGCCGCGCCGCATCATGAAGAGTCAAGTTTAGTTTATAGTTAGGATCGGATGGGTACATCAGTGGTTTAGTAGTAGAACTCTTACCAACCACTTAAGTGGTTCGAGGTTCCATTTTCGGCCACCGAAGCACTCCTAGAACTCGCTAAGCCGGTATTAAGGCCCGTAAAGAAGGAAGGTTGAGCTGGCTACTAGCCAAAATCGATAGACAATATTTTACGTCAATTAATCACACAGAAAATTTTCCACATTTACAATAGGGGTAATGTAAAAAACATGTAGCATATAAAGTGGAAATAATAATAATAATGATAACAGCTAAGGTAATAATAATAACACAAGTAAGAATTGCCGAGGGCTTGTTTCACACAGTACTGTCAATGCGGTATAGAAATCCTAGCATGTTTAAAAATATTGAATATAACGTTCTCTTTACATGATATGGTGAGGGAAAAACAAAGATTACTGCAGTCATAGAGATAAGTTGGTGTTTG